CTCTGCAGAAATATCCCGGTAGCACTGTTGTGTTGCTACCCTTGCTTGAGTAAGCTTGCTCTGCCTCGATAGGCTTCTGTGGTCGCACTGCAATCTCATGATGGATCTTCTGAGTCGATCCGAGAGTCAAATGAATCGATCTCTGGTCGCTGCTTGTGATTGATCGCTTCTGTCATTCGATCTGGCATGATCGTTTCTTGTCAGTCGATCTGGTATGTCAATCTGGATAGATCGATCGGAGAATTCAAAGGAAGGTTGAAAAAGGTTTGAGACTTTGGTTTTGGTGGGTACAACTTTATCAATACCACTCCTGCTGTCACTGTTGGCACACTCTTGTGAGCTAGCTGTGGCAGGACTTGTACTTGTTGTAGCCAAAGCTGGCTTGGTTGGTTTGGACATTGGATGCACCTTGGGGTTGCTATGGAGCTAGAGGTGGTTCCTCTAAGATTCCTGAGAATCGATAGCACTCAAAGTGTCTATCTGTGCTTGGGTAAGCAGGCTCCTACCTTGGAAAGGCTTCGTAACAATCCAGTCTCGCGCCGTCGTGTCGACTGGCTTGCAATGAGTCCAAAACAAACCTTGGAAGTAGTTGCTCGGCATCCCGCTTGGTGGCGAGAAGCTGAGCGGTGGAGACGAGACAATACGGACATTGTCATCATCAGAAAAGTCTTTGTGGCTGGCACTCCTGCTGAGAGTGATGCCACTCCTGGAAGACTGGTGTCGGATGATACCGTCACTTGGTGTACCTGCGGCTCAGACTGGGAAGTCTGGCTGCATTGACACTTGATGGGGCTGAAAGCCCTTCGTAGATGGAAGCTGGTTGGAGCTTCTGGAAGTCGTAGACTTGTGGGAAGTGATGCCCTATTGGAAGGTGCATGGAAGCTGGAAATGATGTAGCTTGGAAGTCACGGACTTGTTGGGTTCGACTGAACCTAGTTCTTGGATGGTCTCGATGTCTGAAGATGGAATGAGGAAATGGTTGAGTTATTGTTTCCTCTTGTCATGGTTGTTTATACTCATGTGAGACTCGTGACTGCTGGTGTCGTCAGTTGTGGTGACTGGTGCCGTCACTTGGTACACTTGGTACCATCATTTGGTGTTGCCGTAGCTGAGACTGGGAAGTCAGGCTATAGCGACACTTGGGAGAACTGTTGTAGTAGCCGGAACTAGGAGGAAGTTCCTTGCCACAATGATACTTTGAGTTGGGGCTGGAAGCCCTTGGAAGTTTGGAAACTTGTTAGGAAGTATTCGGTAGTAGTTGTGGATGCTCCAACTTGATGGGCTCCACTGGACCTGGACGTGTCACGGTCGATGATGGTTCGATGGTGATGTAGTCGGTAGATCCTTTGGTTGGTGATGCCACTGCTCTTACACTCCTGTGAGTTGGCTGTGGCAGGACAAGTGTTGGTTCTGTCACTGCTCTTACACTCCTGTGAGTTGGCTGTGGCAGGACTTGTAGTTGTCCGTAGTTGTATCTATGGTTGGCTTGGTTTGTTGTACTGGTGTACTTCTGTTGTTGGTGTGAGACTAGGTTGGTTGCAATCTCTGTACAGTAGTTGCAGTGGAGCTGAGGTGTGCACCCTCTTGTTGTTTCTATTGATCAGGTTCCCCCTTGTGGGTCAAACTCTGAATGCTCCAGCCATCCTGTGGCTTGGTTCCTTGTCTTGTGAACTCTTGAGTGGCTTGCTTGTAGCTAGCTACTTGGTTCAACGTTCACTGTCGTTCTGCTGTTGTTGCAGTTGCCGTTATTGTAGATGCAATTTGAATTTGGTTTGGTCGATTCATTGTAATCGGTTTGGTAGTGGTAGATACCGTTGTTGGCTGTTGTTGCCATCGATGCTGGCTGTTGATGTAGCCATTGATGGTTGTTGGCCGTGTAGTTGTGGCCATTGTTGTGCCCATTGATGGTTACGGCATTGCCTATAAAGGCGGATGTTATGATGGTTTTGTTTGTAGGATTGTAGGTTTTGGATTTGGGTACCCTCACACTCCTGTGCACTTGCTGTGATCAAATAGCAAGGGCATGGTCTTGTAATGGTATCTGTTGTTGCCTACCTAGAGGCTGGTGTTGCCTCAGGTTTGCCTGTAATCAGTGGAGGAAGTGCAGTGTTTCAGTTGCACAATACACTTTCCATAAAAGGTAGTAGGAGGTGCTGTGGCTTGGATGCCACAATACACACTCCATGAAAGGGGTAGGAGGTGCTGAGTGTAAAACTCAATACACTCTCCAAAGAAATTATTTCAACGCTGGCGGATGCACTCCTGTGCTTCCTGTAGCTTTGCACTGCTCCAGTAGCTCTTGTGTGTAGCTTGCACTGGATGTGCTTCGCTCCGTAGTGGTAGCTAGCTAGCTATCTGGTGCAGAAGCTGCATTGGTCCGTAGCTGGCATCAGTACCGAGACTTGGCTTGGATTCGCCGTGTGGAGAATCCTCTTGTTGCCGACGTACGGATCTAGCTCGGTATTCTCCTGCATGGAAAGATACCTTTTCGCGAAAAGATACCTTTTCCCGTTCAGTGACTTTGCTTCTTGTGGTGCTCGCTGAACTGAGGCTGTTCTTTGTCGTTCCGTGGAACTGATGGCAGTCAGCGATTTCCTCACAAAAAAACAATGTCTGCTTCTGCCGACATCAGTTGCCAATCGACAGACACAATGGCGTTGTCGTTACTCATAGCAGTAGCGGCTGGCTGGGAGTAGTGGTTGCGGTAGCTGTTCTTGTTGATGCTTGCTTGCAGTGGTAGCAGCAGTCGTCGTTGGTTTTGCTGTCGCCGTAGCGGTAGCTTCTGGTCGTTTGGTTCTGCTATTTTGCTGTTCGTGGTGTTGGCACTTCAGCCGACAGCACTCCAGAAGCCGCTATCAGTAGCAACACGATGACGCGTTGCTGGTAGCTAGTAGCGAACTCTTGTTGTTCTTGTTGACAGTAGTAGCGATCGATCGCTTCGGTCGGTTTTGTTCTTGGCTGGTGGATTTTGGAAAATTCGCAAATTCGCTCTGATCCAGCCTGTTGCCGATGGATGCAACTCCGTTCCTGTTGCATTCGAGAACTTGCACTCTTCTGGGCCTGTCAGTGACAGTATAGTAGCCCACTTCTGTGTATGACAGTCCTTCCGTAGGACCTGTCGTTGTCGAGTAATCGGCCTGGTAAGATGGCTTTTTATTGTGCGTTGGAATTTTCTGTTCCGTCGCACCTCTCTTCTAGTAGCCAACTCGATGGCTCTCTTGTTGAGGGTAGGAACACTCCCACGGAAGTACCTCTGTGGTTCTTCCACTTGCTGTTGGAACTTGTTATCTAGTTCCTCTTCCGTGGCAAGCAACACTCGTCGTGTCGCTTGGTCGACACTCCTGGTGTCGTTCCTCTTGGCTTGGCTTTGTACGACCTCTTGGTTCCGTAGTAGCCTTGCTCCGTACAGTAGCTTTGCCTCTGTAGCTCCGGATGACACCGGAATCCGTTCGTTCTTGTCGGACTCGTCGCGGTAGCTAGCTAGATAGCTTGGCTGCCACTCCTGCACTTCTTCGTGTGATGAGTCGTCTCTTTGTAGTTTTCTTTCGTACCTGCACTGCAGTCGTACGATGGCTGTTTCCGCAGCACAAAGTCTTGATCTTCCGGTCACCGGAAGTGCTGTTTATTACACAGTAGTGCAACGTCTTGATGATCACTCACTCCTGTGAGCTTGCTTCGTTCTTGCTCACTCCTGTGAGCTTCGTTGCTTGTTTGCTTGGACTGTTAGCTAGTCGTCGTGCTCCGGTAACGGTACGGTAGCTGTTCTTGCTCCGTTTGAGTCACGTCCGTCGTGTACTTGGTTCCTGGCTCCGGAGCTCACAAGCTTGATGGCACGGCTCACTCAGCCTGTGATTGCTTGTAGCGAAAATGTTCAATCGTCTGATTCGGTTGTCCTGTGATGGACCGATCGTTCCGGTGGTAGTCGTTCGTGCGCGTGTTGGTCTTTTCCTGTAAGGCTGTTGGGATAGCTCTCTCAGTGAGGCTAGAGCCCTTTCTGCCTTGACCGTTTGTTGAACTGTTTATCTTATAGCATGGGCTGGATCCCCATGGGATAAAGGTCAATATCGATATCGATACCTCGAAAATTCGAGGAGCAACTTCTTGGAAATAGTGTTGGTTGCTAGTAACACTCTAGCTTAGTAAAGGTAAAATACTGTTTTACTGTTAAGCTATTTCCAAGAAGTGATCTTTCTCCATGTTTTCTGGGATTGGTTCAACTTCAAAGGATATAGTGAAGGGGGTGACCATATAGATCAGTTAAACTCCCCATGTATGTAACTAGAGAATAGATATAGATATCCCCTATCAACTAGATTGGGATAAACGACTAATTTGTATTGAGGTGTCTGTAATACAACCTCCAACAGCCTCAACGCCATCCTCAGCTTCGATGGCTATGCTGTCAATGGAGAGGGCTGAGTTCTTGTTGGTAAACATGAGAAGTCGGTGAGTAGTGTGATTGAAGTTTAGGAAAAAAGAGAATTAGCGGATTTAAGGAAGTTAGTCACAGTTAGGTTTTTGACGTCCACACATTTCTATCCCGACTAGTCGTTGCATGTGGATTAATCTCGTCCCTATATGTGCTATGCTTATCTAGGGTGCCCGTTTCTAGCCAGTAGTGACTTCTGCACCAGCCACCCCTTTCTTTATTTTGGCACGAAGTCGAAAATGACTCACCCCAACTATAGTGTTGAGTGTTGAGGGAGAAGAAGAGAAGAAGAGAAGAAAAGGACTCGAGTCCTCAGTCGCGAGTCCAGTCATACGGCTCAGCTGCTTTATGTAGGAAAGATAGATGACACCCACCACTCACCATGGCAGCAAACTAGCAAAGAGTAACCCGCGGCATCCACTCAGCCCAATACCGGTAGTCCACTATCCCATAGCAACCGCTTCGTCACACCAAAGAGCAACTACATCCATCGAACACGATCAGTACTGGTACGAGAGTAGCTACCTGGCCAACTAGTTGTGACCTCCGTTCTCTCCGGGAAGAACTCAATATGAGTGCTGAAATGCCAGCAGACAAGCGGCCTCGAGAAGCACAAGCAGATGCCACTAATAATCCCAACAAGCGTCACAAGAAGAATCCTGCTGATGATCTAATCTGCCCCATCACCAGAGAGCTACCGTGGTCCCCTTTTATTGCTCTGGATGGTCGAACTTATGAAGAATCAGCCATCAGGAATTACTTCAAGAGGCAACGGGGACGTGGTGCTTCCATCAGGTCGCCAATCACCAATGAACCCATGGGTGAAACTCTCATTCCTACCCCTCATATCAGAAGCTTCATTGAGACATTGGTTGAAAATGGAACCACTCAAGGTGATGTATTGGAGGCTTGGAACATTAAAGTCAACCAAATGAAGGAGAAGGGCAAGTGGCTACAAAAGGCCAATGCGGGCAAGGTAAATGTTATGCTGATCGTGGCAATCAACTACTCCAAAGGAACCGACGGCTTTGAATACGACTCAACCAAGGCCTACAATTGGTACAAAAAAGCGCACGATGCTGGCACTAAAAGTTGGGGAAGGACTATTGAAAGGACTGGGCGTGACAAAATCATTGCCACTTGGCATTATGTACACCACCCAGGCTGCAACTGCAGGATCTGATTTTGCTGCATATTTTCTGGGAGATGCTCTCGCCAAAGGCCTCTGGGGTATGGCTGTCAGAGAAGAAGAAGCTATTGATTCTTGGCTACGCAAATGTTTGGGAGAGTGCGCCAACAAAAGATTGAGCCGCAAAGGAAAAGTAACAAGTCCTGTTGGACTACCTTCTGGAGAAGCAGAATAGTGCTGCTGGAGATAGGATCATCCTGAGTGACTCCGATGGCTCGGACTAAACCAATCCGATTTGAGTATCTTGGCTCAGTTCCCGGTAGTACCGGTACCCTGACATGTGCACATCGGTACAAGTACGCATTCTGGGTCGCCCAGCCCACCGGTGCTCACCGACAGAGCGCAGGGTGTACAATGATATTCGTTTTTAAAAAAAGGGGGGGATTCATTCCTTGCATAGCTTTCTACTCTACAGTACCGGCAGAGAGATAATTTGTAGTTCATGGAGCCATTTTATTGCTTTTGGGGTTGTAACTGCTGAAAATGTAGAGTTGAATGTATTCATGCAGATCTCATGTACTTGCTGGTATTGTTTCGGGTGTGGTGTCCTTAGCAACGTCATGCAGGCCGCTGCAAGGAAAGCAAAGAAGTTTGCTGCTTCTGTGAGACTCCAAGTCTCCAGTAGCAATCTCGTCATAGACGCGCTGATCCTTCAGGCAGGTCGCCACAGTGTTCACAGGCCTTCTCAGCTGCTTCCATGGCTGTGGATTGAATGATTCGATTCAATTGATCATTCTAGCTACCAGCTGGTAGCTTGCTATCATACTAGCTAGGTTCGATTCCTCTCTACAGAGCCGTCCAAAAAGCCAAGGTTGCCTGGGAATGCCGAAAGTATTGCCATCCGTGAGGTTTCCTCACGACTTAATGAAGGGGTTTGTAAGGGGCTAGTTGATCCAAAATTTGGCAGCACTGCACACTCCAAGAAACAGTACCAAGACATTTTTTGACGATCTTTATCCGGTGGCTTTTGGGCAGGTTGGCACAGCAACGGTAAAGCTTGCCTGTATCAAAGCTTACACATCATCACGTATCTATGACATCTATGACCCCAACAGCTTTGAAAAGGCTATGGGAAGAAAATGAGGTGGGGCGATCTACACCTGGTAATGGATTTTCACCGTACCAAAATCTGAAAGGGGGAGCCAATGATTGTTGTTGTTACAGAACAGGGGGTATCAACCACACGCCCCTACAAACATGAAGCACCACTGAAGAGACTGCAAGAAGCTTTCTTGAATGATCAACCACAAGACAGAAAGCTGCCCTCTTTGTTGCGGGTTGTTGTTCGTTGCTGCTCTTTATTGTTGTGGGTTGTTGTTGCTGCTTGCTGCCCTCTGCCCTTCATGGCAGTTGTTGCCACTCTAACAGAGGGTGCTGTTGTAAACAAGAGTGTTTTGACTGAGCGTAGAGAGATAGCAAGTTGAGTGGATAATGGGAGTGGCCGATAGTGCCAGTGAATAAGCTATCTCTATGTGACCGTCAATTGAACGAATGAAGATGTGCGTTCAGCCTGAGTCGGTTGGGCGATAGGTTTCGAGCATCCTCGCACCTCTGCTATCAGGCATCGTTGAATGGCAACAGTCAGCAGAAGGAGGCTACTCGACAATTCTGGTAGCAATGGCACTCCACGTATCTTGCCTCATCCATTTGGTTAGTCTGTTTCAATTTTCTTGACTTGGTATTGGTGGACGTGGGAGAACAATTTATGGATCCAAAGCAACCAGACACAAACAATGCTATTTTGTATGGGAGCGAATATCCTCCTTCAATAATAGCAATGCTACTTAATAAATTAGCAAAACTGTGGCTCGTATACAGCTGCTACTACGGATGAGCTTGTACCGATACAGAAACGGGTAATCGATTGGTGAGGCTGTTATTTCATTGCATTGTGAACGGTGGATCTTGTGTGAGCCGCCATTCGATCCCAGCAGCTACAATACAGATCTGTTCCTCACCACGACTGCTACCGGTATGAGAAAGATTCTTTATTCGTAAAAAAAATTGTTGGTTCTCAGCAATGGTTTCGGCTGTCGGCAATTGGTAGTAGTGGTGGTCAATTAGACGGTTATGGTAGCAGTCTAATAGACTTCCACGATAGCTAGCTGACATTTTGTTGTTGTTGCTGCTGTTGTTGATTAATCAGCAAGGGAACATTATCGGTCTAGCCAGTGGTCGGCCGACAATAGCTGCAGCGATGTAGTGATAATGATGGCTCGCACGATTGGCAATGGTAGTTGATATTGGGTGCATTTGTCCTTTATCTCACGTATTCGATCCCAGTTGTTGTGTCATAGTTGTCCACAAACACCAAAGTCTCTTTTCCCACCACTTTATTGTGCTGTCCTGGTTGGCATCGACGCTATCCATACCAACCTGGCAATAGCCTTGATTCATTTGTGTTTTTTCATGGAGCAGAGTCTGACTGAAGTTTTGCTTCTTGGATGGCTTTGTTGGGAGGGAATGCTTGGCTGTTGTGATGAATGAGTGGAATCAGTGTTTCTTGTGGATGAATGAGCAGGGGTTTTGCTTGTAGACAGCTCATGTTGGCTACACTGGCCGGAAAATGAAAGGAAGCAGATAATGGCAGTGGCTGTTTGGGTGCATCTATCCTTTAGCTGATTAGATGAGTTTGTTGCGCGGGAATGTTGTGATGAATATTTTTGCCTGTCTTTGTGGTGTGAGTAGACAGCTTATGATGGCTGGATTGCACTAGCTAGTACCGTTCCAACTAGGGCGTAAACTTGTGCTTTTGCAACAGCTTCCATTCAATGCTTTGGCGCTTCCAATGTCAACAGCGCTGGTATGGCACCATAGTACTATTCCCAGCCCTTTTGTCATGGTCACGGAACATGACAGGCGGTACTTCGTTCCTTGGTGCTCCTTGGTGCTTTTTCATCTGGAGAACGCTTTGGAAGATGCATGGTGTTGATGCTTCTGGTGAACCTTCTTGGGAATGCAATAGTCTAATAGCTTCCTATCGGTGCTTCGGTGCTACATGTATGTACTCTACTAAACTACAATGATACAAAGACGGCACTGGCATGGCGTTGACAACAAGTACCTGGTGCAGTGGCGGGAGTTTCAAATGGAGCTGGACACCGAGTGCTTTTTTTGCTCCATGTGCGACCAGTGACTGGACCAGTCCCATGAAAGAACTCCATGGAGCCTCACGCCCTTTCCCACCATCCCAGATGGCTTATTGATTTGGCGCCAAAAGCATCAACAATGACAAAACGGCACGACGGGAGATAAGAATGACAGCAAAGAGCAAAGAGCAACTCCATGAAAAAGATAGATTAGTTGCTAGCTAACTAGTTGTGGTCTCCGTTCTCTCCAGGAAGAACTCAAAAATGAGTGCTGAGATACCCGCAGGCAAGCGGCGTCGAGAAGCACAAGAAGATGCTGTCCCTAAGAATCGCAACAAGCGTCACAAGAAGAATCCAGCGGATGATCTCATCTGTCCCATCACCAGAGAGCTGCCGTGGTCACCTGTCATTGCTCTGGATGGTCGAACCTATGAAGAAGTAGCAATCAAGAAGTATTTCAATCGGCAGCGGGAAAGTGGAGCTTCAATAAAATCACCAATCACCAATGAACTCATGGGCGAAACTCTCATTCCTACCCCTCATATCAGAAGCCTGATTGAAACATTGGTTGAAAATGGAACCATTCAAGGTGATGTATTGGTAGCTTGGAACATCAAAGTCAAGCAAATGAAGAAGAAGAACAAATTGCTACAAAAGGCGAATGAGGGCAATGTGCGCGCTATGCTGTGTTTGGCATGCTTCTACCCAGTCAATGCCTACAATTGGAACAGAAAAGCACATGATGCTGGCAGTGTGCTTGGAACAGCTCGAGTTGGGGAAACTCTACTGAAAGGAATAGGTGTAACAAAATCATTGCCACTTGGCATTATGTACCTCACCCAGGCAGCAACTGCAGGATCTGATCTTGCTGCGTATTGTCTTGGGAAATTTTGTGCCGCAGGCCAATATGGCATGCCTGTCAGTGAAAAAGAGGCTATTGTTTGGCTGCAAAAATCTTTGGGAGCGTGCACCCACAAAAATTTGAACGACGAAGGAAAAGTGATAGCACAAGTCCTGTTGGACAACCTTCTGAAGAAGCCGAATAGTGCTGCTGGAGACAGGATCACACTGAGTGACTCCTATAGCTCTGACTAACGAATTACCTGGCTGGCTGGCTGGCTGGCTGGCTGGCTGGCTGTATAGGAAGATTGCGTATGTTGTTGCAGAAAAAAGAACTCTTGTTCCCTAGTAGCTAGTCTGCATCACAATACTATGGACTGACTACTACCGTAGCTAGCTAGGCCAACTACTCCCAAAATTGGCTTTGAGTTGATCCAATGGCGGCGTCAAAAACAGCAAGGTCTTGCCGTCGGGTCTGGTTTCGACCACTCCTTTATAGGCCGTTCGGAAGATTGTTGCCTTTTCATCCGTCATTAAATTCAGTCGCTTGGCAGCCCGTGCAAAACCGGGTATCCCCGAATACTCCAACCGTGCATTGGCGCCTTGTTGACAAATTTCCAGTGCTTCTGCCCGCGACGTGGCCAATCGAGCATTGGCCACCATGTTGGCATAATTGCGATCAAATGTGTCTTCCACCAAATAGGACAAATCCTGCTGTGTCCAATCGACTTTTTCGTGATTGAGTTCGATCCGATGATGATTGCCTCCAAATTGATTTTGACTGGCACCACCCTTGTCCCCAAAATGAAATGTCCGAGTGACTTCTGGTCGAATAATGTGCCGTCCTTGTCGTTGGGCAGGTTCCCGCAGCCAATCGTCCCAATACCCATTGGGCCACTTGGCACCAATATCTTGCGTCCAGGTTTGTCGTGTCATCATCCATCCCAGTCCGGGAAAAAAGTCACTGCGCAATAATCGTTTCGTATCGACGGCTTGATTTTGATATCCATTGTCGTTGAATGCCGACACTGCCAACAAGTGAGGATCGGCATCCAAAAGGGGGGCCGTGGCTTCGAAATAGCCAAAAAAGTCGGGTGCAATTCTCAAATCTTCTTCGAGAATAATGACACGTTGTGGCAGAGGTTGTTGTGTGTATGCTTGTCCATCAAAAAGTGTTCGGAGGGCCCATCCGTAGTGAACGGCCAATAATTGGTAGGGATTCCCTCTCAAGTTTGGAGATGCGGGATGATTGATATGGTAAAATGGAATTCCCTTTCCTTCAAATTTGGTTTTGAATTGTTGAATGACTGCCGTGACATCTTCCGCATTTCGATCTTGCGTTACGACAATGGGACAACCCATTTTGCAATTGGGTTCGATATATTGAAAAATAGTGTTGAGTGTTTCGGTCAAGTATCCCGCGCGGGAACACGTGAAAATGAGCAGTGGGGATTCGAATGGCTTTAATTCTTCCGTAGGTGCTGCCGGTTTTTGTCTTCGCGATTGTTGTTGTTGTTTGTCGACGGCAGCTTGTGGAACACCTTGGACATTATTATTATTGCGGCCATTGTTGGAGACTGTCGGGCTGCTCAGTGTCAAAAAGGAAACCATGGTCCAAATCATGAACAAAAAGGCAATGCCCAGAATTATCAGTGGAACGACCAGTCGGTTGCCTTGCTTTCTTCTCCGTTTATTGACGCGACGCAATCGCGTCAGTGGTTGGCTATTCTTCTCCATCATATTATTGTCTGTATTAAAGGTAAGTGGAGTGGGATAGATAGATAGATATGTGCTCAACACTCTATCTTCTTGGGGGGTACTACTAGCTAGCTAGCAAGGATGGTGGTTTGGAGATGTATGTCTAGGATCTTGGGGCGTTGAGTCGAGTCGAGTCGAGTCGAGTCACACTGCCTCCGACATTTGACTGACGTCACCGTTGATACACATTTGCCATGGGTGTGGACGCTAATTTTTCTGCCTTTTCGCTTGCTTGAAGTGGCATAAAAGGATTTAAATGGTTGATTCCCTGGTCAGAGTTCGGGTCATCTATCCAAACCAGCTGATTGCTTCAAAGTAGAACCGCATGGGACAATATATCTTGAACCCAGGGCTTTTTCCCCCTAAAATTTTCGAAAAAGTTCATACAGCTTTGAAAATGTTCATGGATTACTCTGTCCGTAGATAAAACATTGACTGACGTCACCTTGGGAACCCAACCACAAATTCTGGACCGCAATGGATTTGATGGTCGGCGCTGTCATTGGCTTGCACTCTTGCCTACATACAAGCACTTCTAAAGCAAAGATTCTGTCGCTCGATAACAAGGTACAGTGGTACTTGCTTTCGAGCTAGTCTACTGGCTGGTCTCATACTTCTAAAAAACCGATCAAGTCAAGTTAATTGTCTACATACCATGTCCTCTCTATTATCACAAACCGCCGACTGGTTATACCAAGTGAACCCGACACTCTGCAAGATTCCTCCCCGCGCCAATGACGAAGAGTACTGCTTCATGGGACCCGACGGTGGAACCGATGGTGCCATTCTCTGTGGTGACATTTCCTACAGTATGGCCACCTGCGTGGGAAGTTGGATGTTATCTCCCACCCATCACATTGTCGAAGGCATTGCCGTCACACTGCTCGCACTTGTGGTACTCCACTACACGGCGCCCCGATTATTTGCCGACGACACGACAACCACCCTGCGAGTCCAACATCCCACGGGAGCTCATGGCGTCACGCTATTCTGCTTGACCATGGTCATGATTTACAAATGGTATGGATACCCCCGACGACTCTACTACATGGTCATGCCCTGCAATATGCAATGGGTACTCAGTTTTCTACAATGTTGGATGATTCCCGAATCTTGGACACGGACACAGTACATTATTCTACAACTCAAAACGACATTCCTCATGTCCGTCGTCATTGGAATTGTCCTACCGGAAACCAGTGATTGCGAATTGCCGGGAGAATACATTTTCTATTGGCTCAATCATTTTCTACTCCTCTGGTTGCCCGCCGCCTATGTCCAAAATGGAAGCATCTCGTGCTTTTCATCTACGACATCAACATGGTCTTTGAATGGACTCTGGTGGGCATTTTCCTGTGCCGCATTTGCCGTCTTTTATTTCATCCCCGTCACATTTTTGGCCATTTATTCCGGACTCAATTTGAATTTCATGCTCCATCCGCCACACGATCATGTCATTTTACGAGGACAATGGTACCGATTGGTCACTGTTGTGGGATTGTGTATTACCTTTTGGGTATCACGGCTCTTGGTCATGGCATACGAAAAAGTAGCAACAACAACACGCAACAACAAGACAACAAAGCAATTATAATTACTACGTGCGACACGGGGGCATAGCATGTAGATCTGATGATTTTTAATAAAAGATTACGTTCTTGTTCGAATAAATGCTACAAATGGGTACTATTTTATTCGCTACAATGCACCACATTGCAGCTCAACGGTGCGGGAAAACTGAAGAGAAAGCAGGGTCGGGAGTTACTCAAAAATTCCTGCCATTGGAACACAAACGAATGTATCTACTCTAGAGTATCAACAAGCAGCATTCCAGTTGGATCCCACCATGGATCCTTTCAACCTTTGTTGTGTCTGTGGACTGTAGACCCAAGGCCAAAGCCCTCTTAGCAACACCTCTCTTCTACAGTACTGGTACCAAAGCTGCCACAACAAAAGTCTGCACCTCAGGGGCAATTTCTCACAATTTCCAATTTTCGAGATTTCCAACTTCTCACAATTTCAGCTTTCCAAGTTCCTCACAATTCCAACTTTTCATAATTTCCGACTTCTCACAATTCATTTTTCAACATGTTCGATTTCTCACAATTTAAAATTTTCCCTATTTCTCACAATTAAAATTTTCAAACGTTATGATTTCTCACAATTCAAATTTTTGCCGATTCCTCACAATTCAAGTTTTTGCCGATTCCTCACAATTCCAATCTTCAAACATGTCCGATTCCTCACAATTTCAATTTTGCGGATTCCTCACAATTACAATTATTCACGCTTTCTCACAATTACAATTTTCAACATTTCCGATTCCTCACAATTACAATTTTCGATTTTTGATTCCTCACAATTACTATTTTGGCGTTTCCTCACAATTACAATTTTCAATTTCTGATTTCTCACAATTCAAATTTTCCACGATTTCTCACAATTCAAATTTTCCACGATTTCTCACAATTCAAATTCTCGCTGATTCCTCACAATTACAATTTTTCACGCTTTCTCACAATTTCAATTTCGCTGATTCCTCACAATTACCATTTTCACGGATTCCTCACAATTACCATTTTCACCGATTTCTCACAATTCTAATTTTCAAAAATTCCTCACAATTCTTTTTTTTCTGATTCCTCACAATTACAATTATTGCCGATTCCTCACAATTACAATTTTCGCCGATTTCTCACAATTCAAATTTCTCCGATTCCTCACAATTTCAATTGTTTCCAATTCCTCAAAATTTAAATTTTGACGATTTCTCACAATTACCATTTTCACCGATTTCTCACAATTCAAATTTGCGCCAGTTTCTCACAATTCTGGTTTTCAGGATTCCTCACAATTCCAATTTCCTAATTCCTCACAATTTTAGTTTTCAGGATTCCTCACAAATCCAATTTTCCTAATTCCTCACAATTTGTGTTTTTACATTTGCTAAATGTTTTCGATTTCTTAAAATTTCAACTTTCCGTCTCACAATTTCATTTTTCGGAAGCTAAAGTCAAACCCCTCTGCGGAGCAACAAGGGTTGGCACCACTAGCTACCGGTAGGAGACAAAAGTGCTGATGAACAGCAATCAGCCACCAGCAGAGACACATTCTGCGGCACTATATTCTACATTGTTGCCGAGTACCTACTGGCTCAGAGCAACTCCACTGAAGAGACACTACACCGCATTGTGTCTGCAAAGAATGAGCTAGAAATGGGAGGCAAAATTGGTCACTATGAAAGTCTGAAATTGGCTCATGAGGGGTGGATGTCCCCTACGGTAGGATTCATGGACGTGTGAATATGTACTGCTGGTGGTCATTTGGCTGAAATGGGCCAGAGCAAATCGTTGTCCAAGGAATGCCATGACATGCTCTTTTGCAGCTGGCCATCTTGCAATTTTGCATGGCTCACCGTGGGATCACGACACATGCTGCAATTCATGACCACAAAGGAGGTTCGAAGTTGGACTCCGACACATGAGAATGGATGCCCCTGGGATGAGAACAAATACGATTTACCCCATGTTAAAAGGAAACAAGAGGATGGATGCGAATGGAGCAGATCCACAAGTGCGGCTGCAGCCAAGGGAGGCCACTCGGGGTTTCTATGTGGGCACAAAGGAAGGGGTGTCCGTGGGATGAAGATACGTGCTGGGCTTCTGCTGAAGAGGTTGGAGGTTCTCAGATGGTTGCGTGAGCCCATGAGATGAATTGGCATGTTCGGCTGCATGTTCGGCTGCAGCTGAAGGTGGTCATTTCAAAACTCTGAAATGAGCTCAGAAGAATGGATGCCACTGGGATTCAGATACGTGCAAAGCTGCTGCTGTTCATTTCAATCTTCCGCAATGGCACTTGAGAATGGGTATCCTCCAGAGGAGAAGAAGAAAACTGTGACGACGACGACCACGAGGAAGAAGAAGACAGTACTTACCAGCTAGAAGAAAGCGAAAGTGAGGACTAGGCACTACAGAGCTGTGATTGGCCAAGAATCAATCTGCGTCTTTGTGGACGACGGATCTTGGTTGCCGGTTGTCCTATCCAGAAAACCGGGAGGATGCTTGCGTTGATACAGTACCTTCAAGGGCTTTTGTAGTTGATATCACTGCTGAAAGGGCCTGCTTATTTTACGCGGCCTCATGTTCGCGGACTAGTTGACTGGGAATCATCACGATGTTCCCCAGCAAGCTCCGAGCAGCACAAACCTTCCAATGCAACAATGCATAGTCATGCCGGCTTTGCGTGAAGATGGTGAATTGTGCTGCTTGGACTCCAACCGTGACTAGTACAGTACATTGGAGTTTTCGGCCGTAGCGAGCTGCAGGGGGCTCCTTGCTTCAATTTCTGAGCCTCGGACGAACCGTGAATCCTTGTCATCGTTAGCTGGTCCTCCTTTGGCTTCTGACAAGGGAAGCAAAGTGACCATTCTCTTTCGTCTTCAATTCGCTGGGAGACCCATACTCTAGCACTTCTCCGTCGCCCAAAACTAGGATGCGATCATAATCCATCACGGTGTCCAGACGGTGAGCAACAGCGATGATGGTGGCCTCTGAAAAATTCTTGGCGAGCGATGCTTTCAGAGAATCCTCCGTCGCTTTGTCGATGTTTGCGGTGGCTTCATCCAGGACCAGAATCGATGTTTTCCGGAGGATTGCTCGTGCTAGGCAGAGCAACTGGCGTTGTCCGACGCTGAAGTTTGAACCTCCTTCCGAAACCATAGCGTGCAGACCACCAGACAGTTCTCGGACTTCCTTGCCCATTTGCACATCTTCCAGCACTTCCCAAACTTCTCTGTCGGAATATGAATCAAATGGGTCCAAGTTCTCTCGAACAGAACACCCTCGAAAGAGAATTGGTACCTGAGGGATCACTGACATCGCTAGACGGAGCTTATGCAGTCCAAGTCGAGACACATTCAGGCCGTCAACATAGATGTCCCCGTCCTCAGCTTCCAACAATCGAAACAGCGCCTGAACAAGCGTGCTTTTACCAGAACCCGTCCTGTGAAAGCCAGCTCCACGTTGAGCTTCGTGCAGACTCTGCTGAAACGAGCACGTCGCAGCAACAGCAACTTACCTTCCCACAACCCCAACTTTTTGGCCGCCGTCTATCTTCAAGGTAACGCCTTGAAGCGCAGGGGGTAGGCTCTTCTGGTATCGCACTGTGAGCTTGTCGAGCATTATTGAAGGCTTGCTCGGCCAGTCAGGGTGCTCCAGGTCAAAGTCGGTTTTTGTAGGAGCTTCAGACGGTAGGTCTCCAAACGCCGTGACTCGTTCCACTGAAACCATATGGTTCACCACTTCTGCACTCTGCCGCACCATCCATGGGAAATTTGTGCCTGCTAGTTGCAACAGCAACGTCAGAGCAAGCCCAAGCACTGCCGGATCTATTTTAAACCAACCTGCCCATGAACCAGAATCAGCACGGGTGAGGCCCGTACTTCTTTGACTGGCACCAAGATCAACGAGCAGATCAACTCGACTCACCTTGGTCGTAAAGCAGTGCAGCAGCAAAGCTGGATATAGCCATGAGAAAGAATGTAACAAATTCGAGTCGGGTTGCAAACCAGCGAGAGGCGGCCACAAATGCAAAGAATGCCCTGAAAGATCCATCAAAAAGCACTGCGTGAGCGGCATGCCGTCATCAATCAACCATGATGCCACGGTGACGGGTGGGACACGCAATTGCTGTACTTACCTCGTATGCGCGTCGTGAACCAATGCAAACGAGGTCAGGAAGTAATCGGATGCCCCGTTGCTCCGGATTGTTTGTATTCCGTTTAATCCTTCACCAATCATTTCAAAGATTGGTGACCTGGCCAATCCCTCAAGTCGTTTTAGTTCTCGTGTTGTGGATACGAAAACGTTCCTCATTTTTACAAAGTACCACACCAGTGGAGGCAATGTGACCAGGATCACTGGAAGCACTGCAATTGCCGTACAAACACTTCCAAATGCCATTGTCAACCCCACCAGGCAATCGTAGAAGGAGAGCGGCAGCTGTTCGTCACAAATGCCAGTATCAGATGAGAACCGATTGAGGATGCGACCGCTTGGATTTGTGTCGAAAAATTGTATTTGACTGAACAAGACGGATCTTGTCATGCGATCGTGTAGTCGTTGGGCTGCCTTATTGAAGAAATAGAGAGTCAAGAGGGCTCGGTCCAAAGCCACGAATACTGTCAACGCTGTGAGTCCAACCACAATGCTTATCGAGTTGACGGAATCTTGCTGCTCGATGGGTTGCTCCGACCACTTTCCAATGGCGACCAAGGAGACTAAACTGAGAGTCTGAGCTCCTGCAAACAGGATCACGAGAATGCCTGCCACCCAGAGACCTCCCATCGCGTTGAAATAATCGATCCAGGTGCTCAGTTTGACAATCCCAGTGTTGCGTTCCTCCTTGTTACTGGCTTTTGTTTCTCCCAACTTGCTTTTCGTGTTTGTTGTCGCCATTGACTTGTCGCCCTCAAGAGGCTTTGCCGCGTCCTCTGCAAACTCGACCTCCGTGCTGCTGTTGTTCGATTCCTCCTCTCGAGAATGTGCGTCTTCGTCAGGCACGACAGCAGTAACACTCAAAGGAGCACCATGGGCTGCCTCAATACAACTAGCATAATTTCCACGACAGGTAATCTTTCCTCTCTCCATCAGGAAACACTCCGTAGCACTCTCCAAAAAGTGCAGTTGATGCGTGGCCAGAATAACACATTTCCCCATGTCGAGCCCGAGCCTCTGAATGGCATTTTGATAGATCCAACGACCCACTTTTGTATCCACAGCGCTCATGGGATCATCTAGAACGAGAATTGTGGAGTCTCGATACAGCGCTCTGGCCAATCCAATTCGTGCTCGTTGTCCACCACTGCACTGCACCCCCTTGTCTCCCAATAGTGTTTGGTCGCCATGAGCAAATCGAGCAATATCTTCCTCCAACGCACATGCCGTGATCACTTCCTCGTACCAATCATCTCTTTGGGATAGTCCCATGAGAATGTTATCTCGTACTGATCCATTCATAATCCAAGGATCTTGAGAGGTATAAGCAATCGTCGATGATTGTTGTTGTATGATCTTTCCCGACGTTGGTGGCAATTCTCCTACCAGAGCCTGAAGAAAGGCACTCTTGCCACTTCCCACGGTCCCCATGATACCATACAACGACTTTGGTTGGAATTCGGCGTTGATCTGGTCGAGTGCCACGACAGGTGTATTGTTGTTGTTGTTGTCTTCTTCAAAGACGCTGTTCCAATGACAAGTCACGTCGACAAAGTTAATCAGAGGTGTGGTTGCTTCCTCTTTATTAATTGTGGATACACCCTCTTTCATTGCTTCCATTGGAGTACTGGTAGGTAGTACTGGTTTGCTGTCGTTGAGCTCTGGAAGTCGTATAAATTCCTCGATCCGTTTGCAAGAAATGAATGATTCCGAGACAAACTGTTGGACCACACAACAACAGGCGAGAGGACGAAAGTGAGGATATGATTGATCCTTCCGACCAACACCACTACAACAGCTTTTATCTTACCATGATGGCCATGGGAAAGGTCTTTGTCATTGTCTGGTAGAAAAAGGAGAACGACCGTGAGCCAATATTGTCAACTCAAAAACAAAAGTTCTCTTGGTTGTTGTTTTGTACTGTTTGTACTTACATGTTGCAATATATTGACCAATGTCAACGTACTAAAGACAATTCCCGAACTGAGCGTTCCTCCCGCGAGTACATGGACCAGAAAGATGACGACACTAACGACCAATCCAGCACAAAAGTAGACGGCTTCGTTGACTCCCTTGTATCGACAACTGGTAATAATAGTGTGCACTTCTGCCGCACGTCGTTCTTCAATTCGTTTGGCGAGAGGATATTCCCAGGCATTCATTTTCATGACCCGGGCGCCCGTAATGGCTTGAGAGATCAAATTGACCCGGGCATCGGTATGGGCCGCGACTTGGGCTCGCAAGGTGGCAAATTGATGCGAGAGATGAAATTGAAGTGGCAACAAGACGCCCATGAACAATCCAAATCCGGCGGCAAAACTCCATCCCATCATGGAGACACCAATACCCAGTATCAGCATGGCTTCCAGAGGTCCATAGACCAAATAGAGTCCCGTGACACATGCCATTAAGAAACGTTCTACATCGTTGGACGCCAAATTGGTTACTTGTCCGGCACTGACGGAATTGACGGATGGCAATTGAAAGGATTTGTGATAAATGTTGGCAATGAGTCCAATCCGCAGTTGCATACCGGTGCGATACGTGATGAAAAATTGTCGTTGTTTGGCGGTAAAGGTGACAAATCCACACACGACCATCACGGCGGCGGCCCCATAGGCCATGTGGGCATCTCCTCCTTCTTGATCGTCCAGTTGATTCAGCAACGTTCGTAATGCCAGTACTTGTATCAACCTGGAAATCATGGAGGTGGCCAGTAGCAATTGCGCAAATCCCGTGGTCCGCAGGTAGTGGCGTGCCAGAATTCGAAAGAGGGACTTTGGAGTAGTAGAGTTATTGTTTTCATGTAACAAACTTTGAATGCTGTGCAAATTGGCACGAGACGAATCTTCTTCTGGGACATGCGGCAAATCTTCTTCTTGGAGAGGTCGCGTCGATCCCAATTCCAGCAATGGCCAAGCCCATAGAAAGAACCATTTGGAAAATTGAGAGGCAACTGTCAGTGGATTGGCGGGGCGAGGCTGGGGAGTACTGCTGTCATTATCATGGCTATTGCAATCGCTGCTTTCTCCTGTTTCCTTGTCATTGTCTGGAGTAGGATGGCTCATGGTGGAGCGGCCTGAGGTGGCTACTAGTAGCTAGTAGGTGTCCAGCAGAAGCCTCGACCTGTGGCGCCTCTTTTGCGTCGTTGTTGTGGCTGGAGGCCATCATGGTCGACCCTTTCTTCATCTTTTTTGTTCTGTCGTCATTTGGAACTTCTTTTGCGTTTTCCGACGTCATCAACTCTGAGGGACTCGCGAGTCACGCAACTGTGGCAGAAAGGTGTGAGCATGACTGAGTCGAGTCACTCCGAAGCATGACGTGTCATTCGCACTTCCTTGTTCGCACTTCATTGTTTTGCGTCTCTTGCTTACTTATTACAGTACGGTTGCTACGTTCCAACTCGTGATTACATTCCTCCTACCGACCCATTGAAAGATCTTGAAATCGGCAATAGATCAAGTGACAAAGTCATTATCTCTTTATGGAGCCATTATTAATAATTCTGTGATTAACATTTTTTAAACATTGAGGCCCACCCCCACTGAGGCCTAACCCCATGATGAGGAATCACACAATCACACACAAAAAGATTTGACTGATTTGACCTTTTGGTAAAATTCCACACTATTAAAATTGCTCAAAAACACATCACTGCCTTGCATTGGGGAGTGCTTGGATCAAGAAAACAAAGTAGTACAACAACAAAGCAAATGCCAACACCATAGCATACATCGTACACAGTGTAGTCTCATACCTGGTCCAGTAGACTAATTGGCTTGCTGGACTTTGTTTTCTCATCTTGATCAAGGACAGCTTCAACCACTCAGTGTGAGTCAAATAGTTTCAAGGGATCGGTAGGAGAGAAACATCACCTTTTAATTAATTAATGACACACTGTAAACTCATACGATTTTAGCAAAAAGTGACTGAACAAAGTAAGTTTACTCACAAACTGCCCAATCATTGAATGGCTAAAACACAGGCTTTACTCTGTGGTAACTTTTCGGTTGTTTGACTTTTGTAAATTGCTTGACCAATCTGCTTATGATTAATTTTCTTGAAGCTTTAATGTACTGGTACAAAAATGTTAAATAAATCCTTCACTCGTGATTGGATGGTTACTTCTCTTTTTTCATGAATTTGCTCTTGAATTAACCCCTGAATTGGAAGCAGTCTTTCTTGATTCTTGATTCCAAGCGGTTCATGTATGCATATGTTCAAGAATCATTCTTGATTCCAAGCGGTTCATTTGATCACCTCATCAGCCATCACCATAGCTTCAGTCGCCCATTCGCCGTACGAACCGGTACCGGTCCTCGTACACCTACCACACAAGTCTCATTATTTTCTTTGGGGGCTGGCTCCTCTCACAATTGTTATTGCGATCAATCTCATTATTATTTCTGAAAAAGATGCCTTTCTCTTGTCTTCTTCCAACTCTACTTTTGTTCTCCTCCTGGGTCGGTAAGTAATGCCTACTATCATACGTACGAGGTTTCCGTGCTCCTCTCATACCTACAACCTTCGCAAAATTGATGGTACGGTGGTCTGACCAATGATGTTTCCCTCTACCAACGACCGCAACTAACTGCGCAGTGTACCATAGTGCCTTCGCACCAACACATATCTGGATATGTCTACCACAAGCCTGAGGAGGTCCGTGCGTTTTGGACTCCCGAAAGAATCGCTGCTGCTTCGGCAATAGACGACCCCGAACTTGCTAATGCAACCGACGCTAAATCGTTGAGGGCCCGGAGGTTGAATGGTGCAGCTGTCGCAAACGCTCACTGGCCAGAAAATACGGCGGCGGAGAAGAAAGTTGCAAAGGCCGTTGGAAGACTTATGGCTGTGACTTCTGATGGAAGAACGGGATGGTGCACTGCATCTGTTATCATCGATGGCAAGAACGACCGGTCACTCTTGCTTACTGCCGCTCATTGTTTGTGCAGCGAGGAAACCAAACAAGTGGGCACGGAAATAAAGAAGAGGAAAGTTTGGAACAAGATGTTTCTGTTTATTCCCAAGATTGACGATGGTGATCCTAATACTGACGATTCGACAGACCGAGATTGTTCCAACGATCCCCTGGGTTGTTGGATTCCAACAATCCCTCTTGTTGACATGGATTTCGCAAAAACATTTGATCCAAAAGATAACCCTTTTGACTATGGCATTTTGGTGGTCAACAACAACGAAGAGTTCCAAACCAAGCAATCTGACGGGACAGATGAGATGGGCCCTGGAGATGGTGCACATATCCTTGACTTGGTTGTAGACCCCCTTGAGGTTGACACATCTGCTACGCCGTTGCCTGCAAACAACATGGCTCTCTTTGTTGGAAACCCAAGTGCTCATGATGCTGAGTTGAGGTACTGTAGCAACAAGGCAGTCAAGAAGCAGAATGCCGACGCTGGCAACTTGGAACAATGGTTCATTGAAGGGTGCAACGTGCGCGGGGGTGCCTCGGGTGGTCCAGGTCTGTCCAGCGCAGGAGGAAAGATCTTCTCAGTTAACGGTTTCGGCAATGTGTACGGGCCTCTTCTGAGTGGTTACTTCAAATGCGTGTTGAGGGCCGCAAAAGCTGTTCCCTTGAACAGAAAAGATGGCGTGGTTGTTTTTGGCGAGAACTGCGAGCTTGGCAAGAAGAGTGGAGTCTTTGGGGACCCGCACTTCGAGGCTTGGAGCGGCAAACGATATGACTTCATGGGGGCTTGCGATCTGGTGTTTATGCGAGCTCCTCTGTTTGCTCCAGGGCTCACGCTGGACATCATCGTAAGGACTAAGATCCATGCTTCATACTCATTTGTTGAGAGGGCTGTTGTGAAGATCGGAGAGAACGTCTTGGAAGTAGCAAGCTATGGAGAATACTTTCTCGATGGCGTGGACTCAGCTTCGATGCCAAATACCATTGGAGGGTTTGAGGTGACACATCACCAGATTTCGGTGAACGAACACATTTTTGACATTGCTTTGGGATTGGGGGAGAGCATTCTTATCAGGACCATCGACCAGATGGTTTCAATTGAGCTAGATGCTGCGGATCCACTTCGTTTCAGGGAAAGCGTTGGAATGCTCGGTGACATCAAATCAGGCAAGCTTATTGCTAGGAATGGGGTCACTGTTCTGGAGGATGCGGAGCCAAATGTAATTGCCGCAGAGTGGCAGGTAAGGGACGATGAACAAATGCTCTTCCAAACTGCTGAGTATCCACAGTATCCCGAGAAATGCGTTTACAACGGTATGTGACCAAGCTAGCTCCTCCCTGTAAATCTCCTCCTCGTGCCCTCTCACACTTTCTTTCTTTTGACTCAAAGTCATTGCCACTGGCGACCTGGAGATGGCGAGCGCTTGAGCTTTCTAACTGCATTCGGCGGACACAGTTTGGTTCAGCTAGCTGGTTGGGAGCAATGATGTGACGGTCAGCTCCACCGCTCAGTCGGGAACCAACCCCCTGCAGAACTTTCCGTCTAATCTCTGTGGTATACACATCTCAATCGAGGGACGAAAGACAATACTGAGCCGATGTGCCACTGTAGGAGATTACAAGACCTGAAAGACTACATACATACTATATAATATACTTAGGCACAGTGTTGCAAATTGGTACAGGATGCCTTGCCTTCTCGTTCTCGGGGGGGGGGGGGTAAGCAGCAAGTTAAGAATTCTGGCACTGGCAAAGTGTTTAGCTTCTCGGCTTTTGCTCTTCTTGCTGTTGTGAATGGTTTCATTACTGTCTGAAGTGAATGTGTTCTTGAGTTGGTGATGTTTTGGTAGGTAATAAGAGATATATGTAGCTACGTTGATTGCTTCTTTGGCCTGCCGCTAGCGATGAGTTGCATTGCTTCTCGTGTTGATTGCGTCTTTCTGAGCCATTTTTCGCACGCCACCCAGGACTTCTCCGCAGAGTTCAAAATTAAACCTGACGCTGTTTTGTTGGGTTGATTCGATTCGGGCGCTGTTGGTAGTTCTGACATATCCGCAAGCTTGAAAGGCTACCAGTTTCTTGTTGTGATTTGGTGTCATTTCTACTGAGCGTGGTCATTGAAGATTCGATTCTGCCGCCCAGAAATACAAATGTTGCTTGCACAGGATCTCAGTTGTGGTACCGTACGCACAAGGTAATTTCCGTGCCGTACGGTATTTCTGGGGACGCTCTTATTCTTTTTCGCTACCTTTAGGTAGGCTTGGTTGTTGTGGTGATGGGGATTGGGTGGCGGTGAGCCAATGGTTCAGCATCCCTTGTTCTCTCGGCTTGTCGCCGTGTTTAAACATGCAGCAATGGTTGTTTGTCCCGATTTTGTTTATCCTGACCCAATCTTCCCCAAAATGACAACTGGGGCGTTCTTATTGTTGGCTGTTTCCTGAAAGTCAAAAGAAACCGGTTCTTGGGTCCGATCAAACTCTTGGCAAGCCTGTCGAAATGTGCGTACCGTATGGCCAAAGTGATTGAGAAAGTTGGGTGTAATGTCACACCCCAGTTCCTTTCTCTTTTGGATAATCTTCCGAGCTCTACCAGGATGATGCTGGAGAAAAGAGGATAGATCCAAGACGTAGGTTTCCACAACCACCCAAAAGTCTCCCTCCGAGGCATGCTTGTCACACTCTTCCAAGGTTATAGTAGTGGTAGCAGGACGAGACATTGTTTGGAATACAACCCTGTTTATCGGAACGCGAGATGCTGCTGTTGAGAGCCTGGTGCCGTGGTACAAGAGGAGAGAGACCATCTCAAAAGAGGGTTGCGTCCGTTTCTTTTGTTTCTGGGGGTCACAACGTTTGTGACGGGGATCATGACATCCTGACGGAGCCAATCAATCTTCAAGATACTGTTCCACAATAAAAATAAATATCCCAACCTCAATGGTAGTTAAGCTAGTTGTAGTCTCCACGGCTGTACGTGATACCTGCCAATGCTGCTTTGAATTTCGTCTCCTGGAGACGATTTGCTTTAGGGGTAATGGTACCGATGGGGGCAGAGGTTTGAATTATACCCGGCGCGCATTACTTAGAAGGCCCTGTAGAAGTCTACGTATTCGACTAGTATTGTATTGACGGGATACAGTCAACGCATGTACATGCACATGAAAGTCGCCTTGCGTTCTTCACATTTTAAAGTTGGCTCCTAATTTTTCGGGGTCGCCTTGATTTGATTGGACGCTTATCTTTTTTCAATGACTGACATTGAATGACGTACGAGGGCAATGCGAATCTCAGAAAGGTAGTTGTGTAATAAAAGTTTTTATATACAGATTAATTTACCCTAAATCCCTACCGTTTATACTTATAACAAGAACCCGTCTTCTCGCTGGAACATTTCATCGTATTGATCTTCTCTAGGACAGAAAGCCAATAGTATCCTTAAATCTGCAAGCATGTCTCTCATTGTTGTGGCATGCAAAGTTCTTTGGATCCCAATCAGCTTCTTCAATAAGAACAAACCATCCATGGTTCGCACCCTTGATAACAACCACGTAAGCCCAGTTTTTGACAGTATCCCATGAATGTACCAATAACACACTGCAGTATATCCCTGTAATTTGTGTCCAGTGTTCGCAGAATTGCTGATAATCGGGACTGCTTACCCTTCATCTTGGTGTGTTACAACTTCTCCGTCATAAAACCATCTGGTACTGAAGTGTAGTCTTGCTCCGTTACATAAAAAGTACGTGGCATAATAGCTCCATTTCATGTTCCACAAGGATAGATTTGACTTAACCTGAGAAAAAAGCCCGAATCTTGCAGCCGTTGTCGAGTTGAATAACCATGGGGTGCAACCATCCCTCACATTCACCTTTCTCACAAAAAACCGAGATCCATTGGCTTCTCATTCGAACATTCGTGTTCTCTGTAAACAATACAGGACACCCATTATATATACTTCAAAGCAGGATCAACACGTTTTCGTGAGTCCGAACCGGGTTTTAACGAGGCTTCTCCACATGTTGAAAAGAAATGCTTTAAAACCGAATTGCTCTTAACAGGAACCAGAGTCCCTGCTTGATTGGCCAATTGAAGATCGTCCATGAAAATGAGTAATGCATCCATCAGCACGGAGTCATCAGCAGGTTTGTTCTCCCCGCAAAATTCCTCTTTTC